AGTTAGTTTATTCAGATTAGTAGATTTTCTCTCTTCTTCCATATCCCATAGGAAGAGCGTTAGGCATTTTTTCTGTGCAACCAATTCTATTATTGATTTGATTATTTCAAGCATCTTGGGTTTTCTTTTGTTTCCACAAGATTCAGTTTTATTGCTGCACCAGATATAGAAGCAGACCCTCACATGAAATGACTTTAAATAATTTATTGGTTCAGATTACTTGTGTAAAAGTTTCTGGACTCTGAATGATTGTCCTTGTTTTGTCATCATTACATATATTTAGTGCCATAGAAGTAGAGGAAGTTCTATTAATTGGGATATGCAAATCCAGCTTGAGAGAGGCATGGTGGACTTAGCTTTGGCTCAAGGAACTAAACTATTACTTAGTTTTTGAGATGATTAATTAAGTTTTGTCCTCATCTGGCATGTTATACATCTTTATATCATGGTATATAAATAATTTATGAAATATAACTTTATTTGCAGATGGATAATGTGGATACCTCATCTCATCCAAGCACTAAATTAGGTGCAGCTAAGGTGAAGATACTATNNNNGCAGCTAAGGTGAAGATCCTATCCTGTGTTTTTTACCAATTGTACCTTCCCACGGCCCAATCTCCTCCCCCTTCTCAGAAAGATACTCATTGCCCATCCAACTTGTCATATGTGCTATTTTGAAGTATAGCTTTCAAATTTTATGTTTTTTTTTTACCCACTTTCAACTTGTCTTTTAGTTAAGGTTATGTTTGAGAAAACATAGTTTGACTTCTGTAACCAGATTTTAATACATAGACATCCTAAAAAGGGAAGTAGGATGCTAACGATTTGATGGAGTTGTAATAAATTCTGAATGTTATAAGCCTATTTATCTGTTATTCTAATTTATCTATTTAAGTAATTTTATTTATCAGATCAAATGAAGTACATAGTGACCTAGACCACCAGAATAATGAACTGGAAATTGCATCTGTTCCATGGTTTGATTTCCCTGAATGGCTATTTGTTGTGGCAAGTTCTTTAAGAAGACATACCTCCCTATGGGGACAGTCTAGCAGACACCTTCTGAGTAAACTCTAATTCATTACTGCATACTATCCAATGATCGAAGATATCTTGGAAGAATACGCGGTAGTAGAGTGAAGTAAACAAAAATAATTGGGGTTCAGGCTCGAAAGAGAAATGAATGTGAGCATGAGGAAGATCATGAATAGACCCGAGGCCATTTTTATATAAGGTCTTGAATAGGGTGAAAGGACCATGAGGAAGATTGTGAATGGACTGAAAGTTTGCATAGTTTACAGCCTGAATCTGTGAAGAAAAGGTTCATGTATCCAGTTGGTGTCTAGTGACACATGATCTTGGCATACCGGTGACACGCAGACACGTGTAGCTGTGATTTGCAATTGCTGCGTATTGAAAAAAGATTGCTTTCTTTTTTTTTTTGTTTTTCTAGTTTTCCTGTTAGACTGTTAGGTTGCTGAATATGTGATCTCTGGTGCCTCTATGAGACTATTGAGCCACTCAAGATATGCCCTTGTTGCCCATGTTTGCAGGAAAATTTGGAAAGAAGTACTGGTCAAAATTCTTTTGGCTTCCTCAGAGAGACTATGATAATCAGCCAATCAGCACCTATATTTCGTGAGAAGAAACTTGATCCAGCTGGGCGGTCGAGACAGATGCTGCCATCACCATCACACAGGTTTACATCATATGTGCTACCCACACCAGTTGAGGCGAAGAGTCTTGGTTCTGGGAAAGCAGATTTTGAAGATCCAAAGCATAAACAAGTGAGCCATAACTTGTGGCATTCATCTCCTCTTGATCAAAATAAGCATGAAAGAGTAGTAGAAAATGAGAAATCCTCTGGATCTATCCTCTTAGATGCACAACAGGTGCTCACAGAGAGCAATAATAATACAAAAAGCAGTCGATTGCCCCCTTCATTATTGGATGGCTTCTCATCAAAACAGTTTGATCCAAATGTTGCATTCGATACTAGAAAAGTCAAAAGACAAGCTTTCTCCGGTCCAATAACAGGCAAACCGTGGCCAAAGAACCCAAATTTATCTGCCAGTGGTCATATCATTTCATCAGAATACCCTCTGCCATTTTCTGGGTCTATATTGCGCACTCCATTGCCTCAGCCAATGTCAATGCCCAAATTATTATCACGTGTTTCACCTACTTTCATGTCATCACCTATAATAAGCGAACTTCATGAGCTGCCTCGGCCCCCAGCTCATCTACCTTCTAATAGGCTCTCCAATCACATTGCTCATTCAGGGCCTTTAGTATCCAAAGGTCATGAGCTACCTACTGCAAGCATATCAGCAACGTCTGTAGCAAAATCTACACTTCCAATGCCGCCTCAGACTATTTATCACAGTTATTCTATTTCCTCTGGAGGTCGAAAAGAATCGGCACTGCATGAACCTTCAGAAGCTTCTCAAAATTTGAAGATGACTGAAGCAATTTCTTCACCTCCTTCAACACCCATTTCATTGCCTGATGTACAACCAGCAGCACCACCTACACCGTAGATGACGTATATGCGTGTCAAATGGGAGGTAATTGAGGAACTCATCATCCAACACACCTCTGCCAATCTTGTTCTTTGATATGATTAGGTAAAAAAAAGGTCTTTCTACAGGCAAAATGGCTTTAAAACTGCATTGCCTGCTTTATGGGGATTTATGTGTATCTTTTACCGATTAGGAAAAATGCATATTGTGCCCTTGTGATTTGAGATACATAAGTTACCTTATCTTGATTACTGAATATGCAACTTACCACTTGTGCGTTTGTAAACCCTAGATATTTCCCTTTCATTAACTTAGCCAAGTGCTGGAATTTTTCACAGGATGCTGTATTTATGGATAGAGATTTTACATGAAAAAATTAAGTCAACAAAAATAGGAGGATTATGAATTGTACAGGGTTGGTTTCTTGGAAAGGTGGTGGGAAGATTTTCGAACCGCAAGGTAATAGTTTTAGGTTTTCAAAATCTCGAGGGTGATTTTCAAATTTCCCTTGTTCACTTCATGTCTGGTACTTCCTTTTTCAATATGATACAGAAGTTACTTTTTTTTTTGGCTGTATCTGAGTATTCCTTGAATATGTAGTTTAACTTTCTCTGGGATTACATTTTGGAATGCAGGGGTGCATTGACATGCTTTAGTGCGTATTTGGAATTCATTTACATTGTACATTAATATCAAGCAGAGGACGACTGAATTTCTCACCTAGTACGGGCACAAAATCTGTACATATGTTCTTGTTTGTCTTTGGTTCTTTTTAATTACATATTTAGTATTCAGTGTGTTAAATTTTCTTTGTCGTGCTGCATTGTATTGGCAATTTGTATCGTTGTCTATGATGTAAAGGGAAAATACTTATTTTCTAAGTTTTGTGTGAGAAGTTTGCGTGACTAATAGCGCATTAGGTCGCATTTTACTCTTGACAACAAAGAGAATATGAAGCTCGTAAGCTGGATGTGTTCAGAACATAAAATTTCACGAACAAGGATTTTTTAGGGAAGCCATGAATATGTTACATGGATTAAGATAGAAAGGTCAGTATGAGCAACAATATCCATTTCTCTTAATTAATATTACAAAACCCATCAACCTATAAATAGTTTAGGCACAATTCCCATATAACAATTAATGCAGCTTCAGTTGGAGCTTGCAATGTTCTCGTGGAACACATCAGCTCAGGCCCTTCTAATCTTGAGATGTTCATAGAACTTAACATCTTTATTCTCGTAATTTGTAATTAGAAATTTTTTAAGTTTGTAATTGGTAATTTTAGCATTCAAAATCGTGAGTTGTTTTGAGTTGTAATTAATGCCAAAATAGTTGTGGATTGATAGTATAGTGCATGGAGGAGTCAAATATGGACCAATGAGAAAACGTCAGCGCAAAACAGTTTGCTAGCCGTGCTAAAATACTCGAGCGCTTAAAACAAGGACTTTGCCTCTCGTTAGCGCGAGCCGGCGCTAGAGTGGCAAAGGCAAGCACTCAAGTGGAGATGCGAAATTCAAGAATCCTAGTTAACGTAAAATAGTTATTTTTCAATCATATTTCACTCCAAACACTACCCATTATAAATATACATGCCATAGTTCGTCCAAAGGTGTGGTTAAATATTATTTTCATTATAGAGAACATTATTTGAAGATCAATTACACATTCTCAAAGATCTCTTTATTCAACCCCAGGATCATTGATTCATAAATTCATCCCAAATATTGTTTCAATATGGTTGAACCTTAATTTTAGTTAAGTGAACATCATTTGATGATGAAATCCATATTCTAATATTCTCTTGCCTCAATCACAAATCAAAACACAAAAGATCATTAGATCAAACATCAAAATCCTTACGTTCACCTCTAAGCCTTCAAAGTTATGAAGTTTAGAGAGGAGGCACTTGGAGTTCCAGTGTTCCGGAACAAATTTGTTCTTGGTGATCCACGCCTAGAGAAAAGTAGCCGAGAGTTGCCGAGAAGTGTGAATCGCACAACCAAAAGAGTTCATTGGTGATTTACAAGTTAGATAGTTAGAGTTAGCTAAGATTTAGAGGTTTTTGGGCTAATTATAAGTTAACTTTCATAGTGAATTTTAATGACAAATTTGTCCGGAAGTTTTTTATCCTAAGAAGCAGTTTTCCTCCGTGATCATAAATGATGTTATCTACTTTATTGCTTCTGATTTTAATATTTATGTGATTGTTTAACTTATGGTTAATTCAATCAATTACCTTAATCATCTAGAAACAATAATTAAGTGGCTTGTTGCTTGTTATTGATTAATTCCGCATATTTTTGGATATAAATTATTTTCCAAGAAATGCTATCAGAGCTTAATTGCGTTCCTTGACCCTATTTGTCTAGATGAGTCAATCACTTCATGTTCATCCATACTTTAATGGTAATAATTATGCAAATTTGAAGGTTATAATTCTTAAGTCTATGGATGAGTGAATTTGGGTTAGTACACAAAGGTTGGGTTGCCACTCTACATCTGTTGCAGGAGTAGTTACCCCTACCAAGGTTTCCACCTGATCTAAGAATAATTTAAATGAGTGTGATTGGAACGGTAGAAGAATACATGCCATCTTTATAGCTATTTTGCCTGAGGAGTTTAAAAGAGCATCCATGCGTGAGACTGTGAAATATGCTTGGGATATATTAGAAATCACACATGATAAAATCAAGATTGTTAAAAATTCTAAATTGCGAATGTTGACCACTAGGTTTGAAGAAATTAGAATCACGGATAACGAGTATTTTGATGATTTCTCTGCTAAATTAAATGATATAGTCAACTCTAGTTTCAACTTAAGTGAAACGAATCCCTGAGGGTAAGATTGTGAAGTAAGTTATGAGATCTCTACCTGATAGATTTAGTCCTAAAGTTACTGCTACTGAAGAAAGCAAGAATCCAGATGCAATTAAAATAGAAGAACTCATAGGATCTCTTCAAACATATGAACTTAGTCTACCTAAGTCTAAGAACAAAAAACCCTTAGCCTTCAAAACTGTTAGGGAAGTAGACTGTGACACTACAGATTGTCTACCTTGTTCGAAAATTTGGGAAATTTCTTAAGAACAATAAGCCTCCTCTTTATAAGTTTAAGTGTGAATATAGTACATAGAAAAGTGAGACTAGAGATGTCGGGAAGAAGTTTGTGAGGTGTCATGTCAGGATTTTAGTCATATTAAATTTGAGTGCCCAATTTATAAGAAAACTCTAGGTAATGCTATGAATGCTACTCTCATTGATAATGAGTCTGACTTCTGTAATCAATGTGAGAACTCCAATCCTAAAAAGGAAGGGAATTATATGGCATTCGCTTCTGTGGTTAACAGTGAGTCACTTGAGAACATAGAGCAATTTGACTCTTTAAATGAAGAATCATAAGATGAACATGACATTTATGAGGCTTTAGATGAATTGTTTGAGGAGTGTTTTAAGTTGAAAATGTTAAATAGCTCTGCCTTTAAGAAATTGCATAAACTCGAGTTAAAAAATGAGAGTTTAGAAGACAAACTTAAGGAATCTACTAGTAGATTGAATGAGTTAATGAAAGAGTCCTTAGAAATCAAGGTTAAAACTCTTACTAGTGAACTTAATAAATCTAATGCACAACTTCAATCCTTTACCAGTGGTTTTAATAAGAATGGTAATATCTTAGGATTGAATAAACCTAATATCCATACTGCTTCATTTTCTAAAACCAAGTTGGTTCCTGTCTCTATTAAGTCTAAGCGAGTTGTCCCAGGATCTAGAGTATTTGTACAACATAAGGACCTCAACCTAAAGTTGGTCCTAGGTTCATTCTCACATGTTATAACTTTGGTGTTTTAGGTTACATTAGACCTAAGTGCCGTAAACCCTTGATTAGGAAACAACAAACAAGATTTAACTACTCATGTCATATTCTTCACTTATCAAGTGGGTCAATTGACTGAATTGACAACTCGATTAATTAAGATTACATTTATCAAAAAGAGTGAACTCACAAATCAAAGTGATGATATTAATTGCGATCTTCTTTACTCTTCATGGTAAGAGCGTATCTATACTTCATTGATTATGTATTTAGATACATACACTTGCATTATTCATGATTTCTACATATTCATGCATGCACTCTGTATTTTTATTTTCCTCATTTCATTTGTTTTGTAGTATTTTTTATGAAAAATAAAAATTAGAAACTATTAAAAAAGTGACAAAGCAAAAAGGATTTTTGAAATCATAGCATTTTTATGTAATATTTTTGGACATTATTTTATGATCAACTAGTAATGTAATTAACACTACAACAAAAACAGCCACGGCAACGTTCAAAAAACGTTGCCTTAAACCTTTTGCAACGTTTGGACGTTTATTACAAATCAAGGTGCTGCCGTATAGTAGGACCCCTACGGTAACGTTTAAAAAACGTTGCCATACGAGGTCTACGGCAACGTTTATAAAACATTGCCGTAGAACCCCTACGGCAACGTTTTTTTAAACGTTGCCAAAGTTCTTTTTTTTTTTTTAACAGCAATTTATGCAAATTGATTGGGAAAATTGAAAATGAATTCTTATGAACAAATTTTGGAATTGCATAAAAATTGATAATTTTATTATAAATTTTTG